TGCGATTGCCGCGCATGCCCGACGTCTTGCCATCGTCATTGCGCCCTGCGCTATTGCCGACTTCCTCGCACGCGTGCGCCCCCGACATTCCTAGGCCTGCCAGGCCTAGGTTCTCGCCTGCGTGAGCTCCCTTCGTGCACCTCGTGCTCCCCGTCACTTTGCCGCCAAACGCCAACGCGTCCCACTTAACCCCCGTGGCCTGCTCGTTTACCGCGCACCCCATTGCACCCGCTGCACCTCATACACGATCACTCGGCCCCTCGTGCGCATCAAGGCACGATGCACGCCGTTCGCTCGTGCTCGCCCTTTCTTCGCCAATTGACCTCAATTGCGCATCTGATGACCATGGGTCCCATCCTTCCAACCCAATATAATCTCCTGCTCGCCATATCCAACCATCCTCTACCCTTTGCTTACCTCTCCTTCGAGCCTCCATCTTCCAAGCTCGTCTTTTCCTCGCACAAGGCTTGCACCAACAATTCCATTCCTTAGCCTTTGTCTTGTGTTTCCTTCGAGCTCGCTTGGCCTTGTACTTTCTAGATTTGACTTTTGAATTCCGGCCAGATCCTTTTGGCCAATCTCTTACACAAGAAGGTCGATATATTGGACTTGATGGCTCCTCTAGCATGTTTTCCAACCATATGTTGAGATCGTCACCACCCTCATCCTCCGACTCGCCTGGGTTGATGACCACTTCCGTATAATTCCCCTCCTATTCAAGACTTTCCTTGTCCTCAAGGATTAGAAAATTTAACGCACCATCATCAGTATTGTTTTGGACATCGACCACCATTGCTTCTCGGGCTTCTACGAGTTGTCGCTCGTATTCTTCTACGTTCCTTCGCTCATGAAGCTCATCTAGATATGTTTTCTCCCAGGGCGTGAGTTCTCTTTCCAAATCCTCCAACATCTCAAGGTCTTCCCAATCTATCTCATCTAACGGTAAGTAAGACATTTTATTTTTTTTTACTCTAAAAAAAATCGAACCGAACAAACAAAAAAATATTTTTTTTAAGACTCTATCAAAAATAACAAAAGACTAGATGACACTTCTCTTTTTTTTTTTTTTTTT